TGGGGCATCGGGGGTGGGGGGGAAGGAGGGGGCACTGTGGGTCAGGAGTGAGGGGCACCGAGGTGGGGGCAGGGGACTATGGGTTGGGAATGCAGGGCACTGGCAGTGCCATGGGTCAGGAGTGAGGGCACCAGGGGGGTGAGGGGCTACAGGGATGGGAGTTGGGGGGCTGCAGGTTGGGACTGAGGGGCACCATCATGGCCCAGGGGAGCAGGGTGCTGCAGTTTGGTGAGTGAGGGGTACTGGCAGGGCTGGGGGCAATGGCTTGGGAGTGAGAGGCAGCAGCAGGGCTGCGGGGGAGCTGTGGCTTGGTAGTGTGGGGCACCGGGGTGAGGGCAGAGGACTGTGGGTTGGGAGTGCAGGTCACTGGCAGCACCAGGAGGCTGCGGGTCAGGAGTGAGGGGCACCAACATGGCCCAGGGGGCAGGGTACTGCAGCTGAGTTAGTGAGGGGCACTGGCAGGGCTGGGGTCAGTGGGTGGGGAGTGCGGGGCAGCAGCAGGGCTGGGGTCCTGTGGCTTGGGAGCATGGGGCAACAGAATAGGCAGGGGCAGGGTCACCCTTCGGGGCCAGTCATGTAAACACTTCTTTGAACTCCGTCATTCACAACGAGCAATTGGCTAGTTTCTGAATAAGGTCCCTGAAGTGTTTGGGGGTGGGGGGTTGTTTCTATTTTTTTTTTTTAAATCTCCAGACCATAAGCAGTTCAAAGCCCATGAGATCATCAGGAAAACCATCGAAGGAAAATCAGGCTAGAAGGGACCTCACAAGATCATCTAGCCAAGCCTCCTGCTCAAGGCAGGACCATCCCTGACTAAACCATCCTAACCAAGTGTCTGTCCACCCTACTCTGGAAACTTTCCAAGCATGGAGTATCCACAACTTCTCTAAGGAGCTTGTTCCAATGCCTGGCCACTCTCATAGTCAGGGATTTCCTCCTGATCTCCAGCCTAAATTTCCCCTGCTGCAGCTTTAGGTCATTACTCTTAGCCCTGTCCCCCCTACAGCCAAAGAGACAAAAAAAACCCATCTCCATCCTCTCTATAATCAATCCTTCAGGTATTTAAAGACTATTATCAAATCTCCCCTCACTCTTCTCTTCTCCAAGCTGAATAACACCAGTTCTTACATCTTTTCCTCACCAGTGTTGACCAGAGTAGAAGAATCACTTCCCTTATTTGCAAGTGACACTTCTATTAATACAGCCCAGGATGCTGTTAGCTTTTCTAGCAACAAGAGCACACTGTTGGCTCATATTTAGATCATGGTGCACCATAGTGCCCAGGTCCTTCTCTGCAGCAGTGCAGCCCAGCCAGTCATTCCCCAGACTGTATTTGTGCAAGCAATTATTCCTTTCCAGGTGTAGGACTTTGCACTCATCCTTGTTGAACCTCATTTGACTGACTGTGGACCGTTTCTCCAGTCTAGCCAGGTCACTCTGGGTCCTAGCCCTGCTGTCCAGGGTGTCTACAACTCCACCCAACTTGGTGTCATTGCAAATATGCTAAGTGTACACTTTATCCCATCATTCAAATTATTAATGAAGATGCTGAACAAGACTGGACCCAGGACAGATCCCTGGGGAATGCCACTTGATACCCTTCCCAAACAGACATTGAGCACTACTCGCTATGTACAATGATCCAACCTTACAGTACTTTCATCTAGTTTGTATTTCCTTAGCTTCTTAAATGAGGATGCTGTGTAGGACAGTGTCAAAAGCCTTGCTAAAGTCAAGATATACCACACCCACTGCTCTCTCCCCATCCACAGCACTTGTTACTCTATCGTAGAAGGAAATCAGATCAGTCAGGCTTGACTTGTTCTCCTGGAACAAATGACGCTACACTTGTGTAGAGGTCTTGTTTAGGATATGTTAAATGTTTGTCAATGAACCTTGAAAATTCAGGGCCAAAGGAGAGGGGGCCCTGAAGACAAGGACAAAATGGCAGCGGTTGGAAGCATCTCCAAACACACCTGTGCAAACAGGCAGGTGTTTCTCAGTTCTAAGAAATTCTGAACACTGGCCATAGCACCGTTCATCTCTGCCAGTGTTTCTGTCTAAAGAAAAGGCCCCAGTGCTACTGTGGCCCGTGCTTGGGATTCCTGAGAAATGAACCTCGGATGGTGACTGTTGTAAAAAAAGTCTTTCATAATCTTCCATTTCAGGAAACGACAAATTTCCTTCTGAATGCGACTGGGAAGAAACTGGAAGCACCTTCAAAAACCACCTGTACAGAGTTAAAAAGCTGTCATATATTTGAAATCTTTTCCCTCTCGGGTGCCTATCTTGACTGATCCAGAGTCTTTACCTTAGCTACATTCATTAAGTCCACAAAAAACAGGAGTTCTGCAGTTCCCTACCTGTTAGGTTGGCATAGTCAATTTGTTGTTTGATTTTGGCTTCTTCAACTATGAAGACTGCAGTCTGGGTGAGAAGCAGCTGCCGTGCCCTTGCCTTATACCCTTTCCGGTCATACTTGATCACAGGAACTGCATACTGAAAGAAGTGTTATCAGTTCCAAAAGCACAACTTGTTTCACTGGCAAATAGCAAGCGTGTGGAGGTCCTGATAAACAGTAAGCATGCAAGACTGGGAGACAAGCACTTTGGATCCTACTCAGGAGGTGTGCCATGGTTTTTCTGGGGGTTTAGGCAGGTCCTAAACTATCCCCTTGTGATACAGCCTCTATATGGCTGGAGAAGCTGAGCCCAGAGGGTATAGAAAGGGGTAAGACTTTAGAAACCCTGGGGTTAAAGGGCTAGCGAAGGGCAAAAAATGTTTTACAGGCATGACTTAAAAGTTGACCTTTGAGTACATCTTCTGTACCACAATTTGGCCACAAAACTGCAGTTCTGGAACAAAGGCCACATTGCACTGAGGTTTTTACAGTTATTACCAAAGCTACCACCTAGTGTAATGTAGAACTGCACCGCATCTGAGATTGCACATCAGAGCTCTTGACAGAGCTCACCCTCTACTAAATCAGTGAAAAAGCTACACAATTACTAAATCTCACCTTTATTGTTTCACTTCCTAAAGCCTGGAGCACTTTGGTGTTTATGTCTTCATTGACTAAAACAAAAACCAAAGCAAAGATGAGGAATTGTTCTGTAGCAAGAAGAAAAATGGCCAGACCGGAGAGAAATGTGTCTGCCTGCTCAGATGAGCTTTACTCACCAAGTCGAGTATCGAGGAAAAGCCTTGGAACACTTTGAGGATAGTTGTCTTTTTTATCCTTAAAAATCTCACTGGCGATCACTTTCTGATCCAGCTGCAAGGAGAAAACACAAGAGAAATTCAGAGACCTTGTTCTCTCAATAGAGAGAAACACCTGTCTCCGACAACCAGTCAGCGCGACCTAGGTTGTAAGGCCAAAAGAGACCATCACGATACTCTAATTATGAGTTCCTGAACAATATAGGCCAATTACAAAAAGCATTTCCTGCATCAAGCCTGTAAATTCTGGCAGAGATGCAACATATCCTTTAGGCAGACATCCAATCTCAATAAAGCTTTCCAATGAGGAGAGAGAATCCAGCAGCATCTCTGTTGTTCCGAAGTCTGTTTACTCTCACCATTCAAAACAGGCATTTATTTTTACACCGATTTTCACTGGCTTCACTTTCCACCCATCTGACTTTATTATGGCTTTGAAAGATTGAAGACCCTCTGCCATCCAAAAATCTCGTCCCCCACATACCTAGGGGGACCTATTTTATAAGTGTGTTTCTTTGGTCTGTCACTGAAAGACAGGTCTGGCAAAGACAAGGCTGGGAGGGGACTAGGAACTGTGATACGTTGTTGAACGGTTGGGCTAACAGACCACAAGTCAGTTTTTCTTTTCTAAACCTTTCTTAGCTTTCCAAGCATCTTGTTTCAAGTGTGGAGACCAGAATTGGACATAATATTGAGTAACGGCGTCACTAACGCTGTATGTAGTGTTCCTAACAGCTCCTTGGTTCTACTCCATATTATCCTATATACACTTCTCAGGATATCACAGGTTCTCTCTCGTGTTGAGGTGGAAGCTCAGGATGAGCCGGCTATCCAATGCGATGTGACAGTTAACTCCTTTTCATAGCTACTGCTGCCAGGAGATAGTCTTCCATCCGAAAAATGTAAGTTATATTCATTTTAAGGATTCTCATTCCAGATTCTTAATTGTTTAGCATGCTACCAGTGAAATGGTTTTGAATATCTTCCGGTTTTGATCTTCCAAGACAACTCAGCAATATATTTTAATATGTACTGTCTCTGTAAGTGTGTTTTGCTATATATTGCACGTATGTATATTTTTATATAAGCAAACATGTGGCTACCTATATATGCAGGCAACATTTTCAGGAAAACTTCACATGTATACAAGAGAAAATGTAATCCTGTCATTTCCTTCGTTTAGAGTATTTGACTTTACAAACTTAACATTCCTTTAACATGGCCCTCCTGTGCCGTGGAATTCAGGGCCTTTATGGTGATTCTGTTTGGATGAAATTCCCTAGCGTTTCTTTATTGTTTTCAGTTCGTTTTAATTCCCAGCTTGACTGTCAGCAGAGTTTGGCCTTTTAGACCAGCAATGTCACTCGCCCTGCACCCTAGGCAAGATCCGAATCACTGGGCTTGTCACAGGCCAGATCTATGGGGCAAGCAGCAGAGGCAGCGGGCAGCACTGATGGCTGCACTGGTGAGGCAAGCAGCAGCACAGCCCTCCCTTGGCCTCCTCTCACTGACAGCCATGTCCAACAGGGATGCAGATTATGTTGCAGGCCTCACCCCTGCTAGCTTGGCATCCGAATTCTCTGGCCCATCAGAAGCCCCATGTGCCAAATGGAACAGTTCACATACATCGGACACACTAGCTTAATATCAATAGCCCAAACCCTTCCCACTTGACCTAATGGAGTAACTGGTAGCAGCAGTAGGCTGCTCTCCTCTATGTAAGCCAGCCATTGGAGGACACGGACCTGTAAAAAAGTAACTGTATGCTTCCACTAACAGCAGAGCAAGTGACTCAGGATTCGTTGATTCAAATACAGGTTCCAAAGGGGAGCATGTTCTAGCAGGTCCAGACCCGTCTACCCTGCTCCCCCAGGCATGCCCCCTCCTCTACGTTCCTCTGTAACTGTTCTCATATTTCCCGACTCCTCCTCCAGTCCTTCTCCTTCCCGTACTTACCCTGACACACCTATAAGAAACAAGGTTACTGAAAACTGCCTTCTGTCCTTTGGAAAAGGTGAGAGGTCAGGTAAACGATAGAGATATTGTCTACCTGCTGTTTCCACTCTGGGTTGATTCTTTTGCAGTAACGCCACACCATGTTTTGCATACAAAGCTGTCTCAAGAGTTGTGATGCCTGAAGAAGAAATCAGGTGAAAAAATGAAGACTGTTTTAACAGACCCAGCAAAATAGTACAATTATGACTAGAAGGGCAGAGCAGAAATGGGCACAGAAAGCACAAGGCTGAAATCAAAACTAATTTGCCTTTAAGGAGGACTTTATTGCAAAAATTCTTCTTTTTTTTTTTTTTCTTTTTTTTTTAAGACTTAAAACATAATCTATTCCTAGTCCTGCTCAGAGCACTTGCCCTATTTATATTCCCCAGTTTGTTTGGGATGGGTGGTTGAGGATTGAACATTTCCTCTTCACCTACTCTAGCCAACTTGAGGCATCTGTGATCTAAGCAGCAAAAAGATTCCATCCCAAAAAAACAAGTTTTAAGGAAAAACCTGATAATAAAATGATACCTTTAGAAAAGATTGCATGAGCTTTATTGCAGGTCTATGATATTTCAAGTTGTAACAGGATTGAACCATCGACTCTTACAGAAGGGGAACTACTCTTTCAAGCACAAACTAGTAGCTGGAAAGAAAAACAAGTTTACCACTTTCTCCACTTGCACTCAAATGTCACTCCACTGCTTTCCAACCCAGTTTAACTGGTCAGACAACATTAATTTAGCTCAGAACAAAAAATTATCTCAAAAAGATGTGGAAGTACCTCAAATAGATGTCTAAATGGCACCTAAGTATCTTTGTTCAGAGTAGAACAAAGATGGCCAACATATTAAGGAAATATTTGTGGTCCTAGATTAAAGGCACTGTTTAATAATGGCATCACCAGAACCTACAATTAATATTTTTTACTGAATTACTTCGTCTTGTGTAGTACCTATGTTATTTGATACATGTAACCACCATGCGCAACACATAACTATCATGTTTTGTTTATGTTTTTACTACCCAAAATCTGAGTCAAGCCCATTTCTTTACTGCTTATAGAGCACTACAGTTAACAGTTCCACACTGTGCCCTCACTAACACTCATGGGGCATGCATCCTCCATGCATCACTCCAATGAAGTGAGCTCTTGCTCATGAAAGTTTATGCATCTCTGATTCAGTTAATCCACAAGGTGCATCTCTACCCCACCCTCCACCCCACGTCAGTCACAACGGAGGAGTTATCAGTCATGTTTTAGGCAACAGGAAAATAAGACTACAAAATGTCTCCTGGGTTATCAAGCCCAGTCTCAGGCAGATATTTATCCAAAATCTCCTCAAAATCGCCACCTCAGTCCTTTTTGCACAACTACAAGGCACAAAACAAGGAACACCCATGACATGATAGAGGTTTACCAAATTCTAAAGGGTGCAGAGAGAGAGAGTACACGGGGACTTATTGTTTACTCCCTCTCACAACAGGCACGCTAGAAGAGAGGGACAGGCTACAACTAGACCTGCACAGGTTACAGGGGTGGGCGGATGAGAACAGGATGGGTTTCAACACTGACAAGTGCAAGGTGCTGCACCTGGGGAGGAAGAACCAGCAGGATACCTACAGGCTGGGGAACTCCCTTCTCGTCAGTGAAGAGGCAGAAAAGGATCTTGGAGTCATTATTGGGTAGTAGTGTTAAAACTAAGAGAAGAAAGTTCTTTTTAAAAGAGCATGTCATTAATTTGTGGAACTCCTTGCCAAAAGATGCTGTGGAGTCTGGTAGCTTAATCCAGTTCAAAAAGAGATTGGACCAGTTCCTGAATGAAAGGTCCATCAGTAGGTATTGAGGATAGCAGGGAGTGGGGCTAGCTTCAATTCAGAACTCCTCAAACCTCTCAATGCTGGAAGTTGCAATGGGAAAAAAGCCGAGCGTGGGAGATTCTGGACATGCCCTGCTCACGTCCCACCTCAGCATCTACTCTCCGCTACTGTGAGACATGACACTGGAGCTACGGTCTGACTTAGTAAATGACAGTTCTTATGTTACCCTACCACAGTGGCTCTCAACCCTAAGAGACTCAAGGCACCTCTCAGAAAATGTTAGTTCCTAGCCTACACTCCATTTTTGACTACAGAAATAGAATAATCTTTCTGCTGCAAAAGCTCAGAAAGACCACAGCAGGTCAGAATGTTTTTAACGCTATGGATTCCTATTTGAAACACCCGGGTTTACCTTGTGAATCATATCTGAGCACCTAACAGTGCTAACATTGAGAATCGCTTCCCTACAACATGTTATAGGTAAACGCAGGGAAGAGGAGACACCGCAATGCTCAGGTATTGCAATGACATTTTTGAGAAGTAACTGGTTAAGTTGGGTTAAATGTTTAAATCCTGGAGGCTGCAAGTGACAGAAACAATGGGAAACCCCCCCTAGTCATACCCAGTTCACTCTCCTTTTCAGCATCTGCCACTGTATGACAGAAGATACTGGCCAAGACGGGCCTATGGTCTGACCCAGCAACTGGCAGTTGTTATGTTCTTGTGCTTAAAGTATGCTACTCCTTGCCTCCACAGCCCTTGCCAATCTCACTTACCTCGCAGAGTGATGGAGGAGGGGTTGGCCAGGACTTGTCCAAGACATTCCTTGGTAAATTGCGCTTGAGGCTCATCAGGAAGGAATAGCGAATGTAATCTAGGAAGTATTCATTCTCTGCACACCGAGGATAGTTCCGGTAAATAAAACCTTTAATAAACCTAACAGAGAAGAAGGAAAGAGCAGCGGTAAATTCACCCTTGATGCTATCTACAAGCATTTAGCAGTCTGCCAATTCAATCAGCTATAGCTCCACAATGCATCTTTATATGCCCCTCACTGGTGAAGGAGAAATTAAAAACTAAGCATACCAGGGAAAAAACTGAAATGTGATGGGGCTCGTGTCATCAAAACAGAAGACAAACTCTGCAGGACAAGGGAAACTGGCCAGAGGCTTGCAAAGAATTGAGAACTTGTGTTCTACCGGGGACGCTAGGGGTGGGGAGGCCTGGAGTGGGTAGCTCAGAGGAAGGAATGACCAGGAAACAAATTTCAATATACATAAAAATATTCAAGGCTTTTGCTTCAGGTCTCCTGTTTTATTAGTTAGCCCTACCATGAAGGCAGGGCTTGTTCTCAGTCGACCACGCTCCAGATACACACTATGGAGAGGGCTGGCGGCAAATGACAGCAATTTATCCTTGTTAATTAATCCTTTGTTAGAAAAATGAGTGCCAACAAAGCACCTGCATATTAGATTCTATGTACCGTCTAATGGTCTCCACTGCCCACTTCTTCTTGGCAGCTTTTCGGCGTCCCAGAGTCCCACGCCACCATGACTGGATAGTTATTGCTGAGAACAATGGAAAAGAGAGGAAAAAAGACCTTTCATTGAACAAAACTACTTATTTCTACACAGCCTTACCTATTCTCCTCTACATCTTTGGGCTTATTTTTCTTCCTCAAGCACAGACCGACTCTGTTCCCATTGGTAGAAACAAAACAGGAGCTTCTAATGATACAGGTAAAACACGTGCTCCATTTCCCTGGCTCCTCATACCTGAATGTTTCATGTGCTGGAATTTCTGTCGCTGATGGAAACCTCTCCATGCAGCCTGGATTTTAGTGGCTGAAATTAAAAAAGAATTTCAAATGGTGGTGAAGGATGGGACACTGCGAGAGAACGAGGCACAACAACGGCCCTCTTGTGCATTACTAGGATGTGCGACTCACCCAGACTCTGCTTCCGTATTTCCAAAGCATCTTCTGTTGCAAACAGAGTCTTGGGAAAACGGATGAAAATCTTTGTCCTAGAAATAGAAATGCATTGC